CGAGATGGAGTCTTGTTCTTTTGCCCACGGTGGAGTGCAGTGGTGTGATCTTGGCTCACTGTAACCTCTTCCCCCTGGGTTCAAGCAATTTTCCTGCTTCAGCCTCCTGAGCAGCTAGGATTACAGGTGTGCACCACCATACCCAGCTGATTTTTGTATTTTTAGTAGAGATGGGATTTTGCCATGTTGGCCAGGCTGGTTTCAAACTCCTGACCTCAGATGATCCACCTGCCTCAGCCTCCCAAAGTGCTGGGATTACAGGGGTGAGCCACCATGCTTGGCCTGAATGACTTTTCATTCTACAGTCTAGAAAGAAAATGCTGCTGTCATACACACTGAATATAATTTTACTTCTCTAAAAAAAACATAAGAAGGGAGACTCTTTAAGTAGACACACAACATTCTAAACATAGGAGTAGTGTTTTCATAGTCCTTTTGTTAAACAGATGGAAACCAGTAACTAGACAAGAAAATGGAAATTTCGATTTGACAAATGACCCAAAACAAAACCGCCATCCTTCCTCTAAGAGGCAGTGCCGCTGGGTATGAGATGCAAAGGGGTTGCGTGGTAATCTGCAATTCCCGTTTCTTTCTGCTGCAAATGTCTTTTCCCAGTTGTAACAACTGAGTAAATTATTTTGCCAGGGTGGATCATTAATTGAATTCCCTACTAGGCTGACTTCAGGAACCGGGAAGCCCTGAGCTGGGATTAGCAACAGGGGTGCTTATGCTTTATGTGATTAAAATGATTGAGCCAGGTCTGGAAGAATGTCATTATGCTCCTTAGTGTCATTCGGGAGGGCTGCCAGAGACAGGGAGGCAACCATGAGGTGCACACCCCACGACTGTCTTGATAGGTTTCATTTGAACAGCAGAGAGCAACAGCCAATGTAAGAAAAATGCTGCAAGTCACAGGAGTCTGTGCACGCAGGGACTCAAAACCTGTGATTTGGGATTATAATCACGTGCATTTGAAGAGGCCGCGTTGTTGGTGGTGCTAATGAATCCCTCCAGCGATTTCCAAGGAGGAGAATCATCTGCGGACTGCTTCAGCACGACGGACCCACTGGCTTTCAGAAGAACCCTCACTACTCCGTGCCAACTTGCTCCCTAGGCTGTCCTTGAAAACAAAACAATTCTACTAGACTGGTAGCTCATGGGTATGTACCCTCCCCCAGCTCTGTCAGACCTGTGCTGGGCATCTCATTCGATGTGCCTGACAGTGACGGGGCTCAAGGGAAACCACAGAGGACAGGGAACAAATAAATCTTTTCCCCTATTAGCCCTCAGCTCTCTTCCAATTGGGTTTTCCCAATGGAAGAGCCTTCTACTTCTCCAAGTGTTTCTATAAGTTATCTTCTCTCCCATTAGGGTAGGCAGTGTTTCTTTACCTTCGCTGCAGGGATATGTGGTTATTCATTCACTGCTCATGTCCTGAATCAGAATGTATCATGGTGGTTGC